TGGCGCTGTTCTGGGGTGGTCGGTGGCACTTTCAGAACAACCAGAGGAGAACGGAATTAGTGCAACGGTGGTGATGAAGGGATTTATCAAAGAACAAGGTATGGAAGCACTTGAACAGACAAATGAACCGTCCACAGACCTACGTAGCTATTTTCGGCGTGTAGTAGCTGCCTCCTACGTCGAGCGTACATCCCACACAAGCCCACACCAGCTGACAGGTGGAGATCCACTACGATCGGTATGTTTGTGTCTAGAGCGCTGATAATCACCATCTTCCGAAAGGCGTGTTGGGGTGCACACCTTCTGGTCCTCAGTCATCCGAAAAGGACTTCTCAGAGAACCAAGTGTCGCAATGCAACAGAGCCGTAGTCTCGCAATACAAGTTTCCGTATTACTATACAGATCGTAAATTCCGAGCACGCCTTGAGGCGAGGCCGAGGTTGCAGCGAAAAGCGCCACGATGTGACAGGCCACCTTATCTGGACCCATCTTGTCGGCGCTTATCTAACCGATCTCATTCCGAGTCGGCGCCAATCTCGTTCCTCGCCTGCACTTCCACTTCCAAATACTGGCAACACGATCGTCCGTTGATCCCAAACAAAAAATATTTTGGTACTTCCCCTGCAGCAGGCCCGTTCGCGAAAACCACTCCTCACTTTTCCAGTCCTTGCGTCTTATCCCCCCCGAAAATGACGATCGGTGTCGGCTAAAAGTATAGAGACATTCGCCATTCGCCTCCCGCGTCTTCCTTCCGTGACATTTGTTGTCGAACGAGGAGAGATATTCGCCATTGGAAAGCGACTCAAATCTTGCCGACGACTGGGCGCGTGATAAAAGCTACCAAGGCCAGGGAACGCTTGCGTCTGAATCATCATACTTGTGCACACTGCAAACCTGCGATAAGAAAACCCCAACCGCCACACGGTCCACGAGTCGACACCGCCTCGGAGAAGACTCCAGAGACTTCCACTGTGCGCGTCTAGATATGGATTACTCCCTTTCCTTGAAGTCCAGCGCTCGCTTGGCGTTCATTTACTGCACTGCCCCACCTCTCGAGTGCCCGTTTGTCGTGATATCTCGCCAGGCCACTTTCACACCTCTCTGGACGACGTCAAATATCGGCTTTCGGAGAGGATTAAGAACGCATTCATTGATCATCCACCTCCATCTCCGCGCCTCCACCCCCTTTCCGATAAACAGCTACGGACGCACTCGCATACTACGCTGGTAGTACTACCAATTCCCATAGTTCCTTGCCCTGCCACCCAATGTGGTGTTCGTGTATACGCTTGGCTCCTTGCTTCAATACGCGGACTTCAGCATTTGGTTACTTCTACTGGCTGACCGAGGCGATAATTCCACCTTGGGCCACTCCCTCTTACGGTACCATGGCCCGGCCCCCTCCGCAGAAACGCTGAACCCCTGGAGACTTATTTCAAGGTCTCTCGCCGCGGTGAACTTCAAGCTGTACCCTAAAATGGACCCCGGGTCCAATCAGGCAAACACCAATGGAAGGCGCTTGGATGCGTACGATGCTCGCAGGGCCTATCCCATGATCGCGATCTGTCACCGCGAGATCATAGCCTTTCATGATCAATTTCTGGCAGTGTCGGTCGCGAGCACCACCGATTGTTGATTGGAGGAATCATGATTGGTCTCCTGTAAAACAACCGCACATATGAGCGCGCGGCCAGCGATTGGTGCGCCATCTGGGGTTAGCTTCGGCTGCGCAGGCGCCCACCCGACGGCTTGGTATAGCTACTTATCATAGATTCGATTTTGCTCAACGTCGCTAACGTTCGAGACTGTTCGAAAGCGATATTTTTGAACGATCTGGACAGGGAAGGTCAGTGGGTTGACACCAGTAAGGCCAGTAAATCTTTCCTCTACATCGCGTAGGAGGATTTGCAGAGATATGAAATTTCATGAAAGCCTACACACCTTTCTGTTCTAGTCGCGTGCCGTCCACCGCAAGGTCGCGTACCCACCTTCTAGTCTACCTATAATTCTGCAGATTGCAACTAGAGTCGATCATTCATGAAAATGCTAACACCCTTTGAAGGTCGAAATTCGGTGCATATGGGTCCACTTTATCAGCGCAGACCAGCGTTCAACGTTGTACCATGGCCAAATCCGTTCAGAGGCGTACTGCTGTGCTCCAAGTGCAAGACGTTGAGAATTGAATTGATTCAAAACGAACGATTCAACAATCTCAATCAAGTCAACTTCCTCCATTTCATTTCTCATTCCATGCTCATTTGAACGTTAGCATCTCCTTCCGAAGATTCGAATTCGAATTGTGAATTGGAAGAAAACAAACAATCGGACAATACACTCGAGAATCGAGTCATCTGCTTACGGTCGTGCCGGTCCCTTCAAGTTTTCCTTCCTTCCGAATCCAAATATAGGATTATACCGCTTGAAGTAGCTCGCGTCTCCTGGCACTTGCATGGCCTCCTAGTGTGGATCTTCGAATTCTAGCCCTAGTGCGTCATGAACAGGGCCTCCAGCGCTGCGCAAGGTTTAATGACCGCCATTTGAATGCTAAAAGCAAGTCAATCGATCTTCGAACGCCGTAATCGAAGACATCGAAGGGCGTGTGCGCTGTGCTTCAACTGTACGTGTGAGAACAGTGAAAGCATGTGTGTCCTGAGAAGATTCATCGTGAGCCGTGTGATTGGCGGGGACAGGCGATGAACTCGAGAGCTAGACGTAGGAAGCGTAAGGATGAAGCGTAGAGTTGAGTACGAGCAGGCGTAAAGAGTCAGAGGAAGGTCGATGAATGACGAAGCTGACTCGCCTTCGCATTTGAGACACGGAGCCGTACGCGCAGCAAGACGGAACCGAGTCGGGACTCGGAGGCGCCGACGAAGGGATTACGCGTACGGTGCACGCGTGCAAGCCCCGCATCCGTAGACTAAGGACCATGAGCGAAGGGGATGTCGACAGTCAATGCTGCGGTGCCAGGAGAAAACGGAGTCCAAGAGGTTGTCAGTACGACATCCAGATGTCATCGCATCGAGAAGGTGCCCGATAACGAAAGTCAGAGCGAAGCCTGCAACCGGTGGATAAGCCTACCTTATCTTGAAGGAGATAGAGACTTCGAGCTCTCGAGGACGTACGTATCCCTCCGGCACCTGTCCACCATCATGATCACAGCGAACGAAACCGGCGATGGTTTATCGCAGGATGACTACCACTTACGAGTAGTCTCCGAGCGAGGCCGGCGGCGGTGTTAGAGGTAAAACAACAGGAGAGGTATGTATACAGTACATACGTCGCAAATCAGCGTAGCTGACGCTGTCCGAGCGAGCGAGGGCGATCGGACACGTAGGGGATTGACGTATTGATAAACTGAGCAGTCGGAGCCAAAGGTAAGCCGGAGATAAGCATTGGGCATTGATGATTAGAGGTGCCTCCGATTCGGGGCCTTCGAATGTGTAACCTGCGTTGAATGTTGATGATTAGAGCAACCTCCGATTCGAAGCATTCGAAGGAGTAGCCTAGGGTTAGGTTATAGTGCACTCACTAGATGCGATAAAGCATAGGCGGGCGGATCGCTATGACGTCGATCATGGCCTGGGTCGGGAGTGAGCGGGGTCGTTCGAAGGTGCGATGGGCATTGGTGCTCCTCTCCAAGAAGGCCGGGTGCAGGGTGGGTGGTGGGTGGGGAAACTCAAGGCTGACGAAGGATGAGGGCAAGTAAAGGAAGGATGAAACACTCAGGAAGAGGGGAAGGAAGAAAAAAGAGAAGGAAAGAAGAGCGACTTCAAGGGCTCCACGGGGCGCGCCCTGGTGTTTCGATCCCTGAAGCTGGGTATTCATAGCACGCAAGTGTGCCGAGATAGGAGTGGTATAGGCCTGTAAATGAACTGTGAATATGTCTGAGGCCTGAGGTTGGAACTGGGGCACAGACCTCGTAAAATTGACTAGAGAGCCCGAGCTCGGAGATAGTAGGAGCTGCTTCAAGTGAGGTTCGCTCACGTCGAGCTAGTTCTTCGTCCGATGAGGGTGTGTAGCTGTGGACATGCTTAGGGTGTTGGTACTTCCTTGCTAGAGAAAGCTCAAGCTCG